GGTACCCAATATCCTATCAGACCACATCCAAATCAATGAAAAGGAAACAAGGTGGATAGCCTTCCTAAGTATTTTAAACATTACTTATATAACTATACATACACAGGCAAGCATATAACAAAATTTCTATGTAAACGTAATCATGTAATTGTACAGTAATGTACTGTGTGTACTAGCTGTAATGTATGTTCTCTCTATCTGGAAAGTATTGACTCATGAATGAACTGACTCATTGTATGATATCGCGTTCTAGTAATAGTTCTAGTATCTTCCTAAACTACCCATATGGTAGCTTACTAGTAATATAACTGGTACGTATGAACATGGATGTATACCCTTGCTACCCAAGGGCATTGGATGAACTGGAAAGACCTTTTATGACTATATATGTACACATGATATATAACTAATATTTAAACGACCTTCGGTCGGGTACCCGATATCCTATCAGACCACATCCAAATCTAGGAAAAGGAAACAAGGTGGATAGCCTTCCTAAGTCTTTTAAACATTACTTATATAACTATACATATAGAGGCATGCAATTTATAATATAAAAGCATAAATAAGTTTTGTAAAACCTTCGAACATAATTATTATTTTAACAAAATATCGACTTGATGTCAATCTATAAAACGGTTGGAAAGCTTGGGTTTGATAAAACAGTTTAGTATAAAGAAACATCTGTTTGAAACACAATTGGAATTAAGTTTGAAATAAAACATACAGAGTAAAATGTACAATGTAATAAGGAGTTTTAAACACATAAAGTGTTTATGAAAATCATTTGAAAGAAAACTGTTTGGTAAAACAGCTAATGAGTAGTAAATCATTTGAATGCTGCTTATTAATCACATGTGATTGATATAATAAGTGGCATGATTCTACTTGTATCCCCCCCCCCATAAAACATTCAAAAATAGTTAAAACATTTATTAAGGGGTATGAACTCACCTGTAGTAAGTGATTGGAATTGAACGCGTTGTATCGTAAGGAAGGATCGGAAAAGTGCTTGGTGTCAAGTGAAGACTTTAGACACACACAATGATCCTAATTACATATTCAGACATATGTATATAAATAATTAGTGATTAAAACACTAATTAAACATGTATAAACATTTTACTTCGAGGAAAACACTTTTGGTCAAGTGCTAGGAGGCTAATGGGTTGCAACAAAGGAGTGCAAAGCCTCTTGTGGGAGTTTATGGTCAAAAGACCATATGTTTTGGAGTTTATGGCCTAGGGGCGTAAACTCTAATTTGGGTCACTAAATCAGGCTTAAAATTAGTACAACTCAATTGGTGAATTGCTTCAAGGCTTAAACAAGTGTTTGGGCTTCCTTTTAACTCCTTTGAGGAGTTTAAGGCCCTGGGACCATATCCCTTGGAGATTACGGCCGTAATCTCCCTTGGGGGGATGTTTATGGTGTTGTCAAGTCCCTAAATTATCTAGGAACTAAACTAAGCTTTTGTACTAGGCTTTAGAACAGTTTATGGCACCATTTGGCACCATTTTATGGAGTTCACGGCCCTAGAACCTTTTGGGCCGTGAACACTGATATGTGTATTTTTATATATATTTTTATACATTATATCTTAATATTTCGGCCTTTAGTATTCTCTTTTAGAACTAAAAAGAACTCACAATGCTTTAAATTATGTTTTGCAGCTATTCGTTGACGATAAAGCACAAAAGAAAAGACTGAAGCGGAAATCGGGCTTAGAAGCTAAAACGAAGGAAAAATCTTGGAGGAGCCAATTATGCCCCGCGTAAGTTTCTTGTACGCTAAGCGTAGCGAGTAACAACCAAATTCGAATTACGCCCAACGTAATACTAGTTTACGCCCTGCGTAATGGCTGGCATCGGATAACTCCAATCGCGTATAAATCCTTAGTACGCCCAGCGTAATCTGAGTTACGCCCAGCGTACGTAAGTTGGCTACAAAGGTTATAAAAGTCGATTATCAACTAACCAGAAGGGGGGATTCGACTTCCAACTTAATTTAGTCGATATTAAACTTCTGTTAAGCCGTTTTAAGGGTCTAGAAGGCCGTTAAGCTCCTGGGAGCGGAGATCGGAAGGGTTGGAGAGCGGATACGTGTCGGTAATCATATGGGTTGCTAACGTGTCCATGTTTAGCGTTCCATTGTGTTACTATTCGGTATTTAGTTTCTGATTTGGGTGTAAAAACCTTTTACTTTGTGTTTATGATTGAATGAAGCTTTGATTATGAGACTAATTGCTATATTGAATTGTTTGTTTATGTTTAATTTATCTTGCCAAGCTTGTTAAAAGATCCTTACGTATTAATGATAATTCTTTGCTGTTAATTGTTAAGTGAATTGAGTTGTATGAACATCTGCTTGATTGCTTGTGTCTTATGATTTTGATGACCATCGAGATTATAAGTCTAGGAATAACAAATGTGAAACTAGGATTAACTTGGGAATAAGTAAGTTAATGTGTGAGCCTTGTTTGATGACCATCAACAAGAGGTTACTTGAATAGACAATTTGATTAACTATATTTACAAGTATTGCTTGATACGAACTTAACACTAGGAAGCATGTTAGTTTAATCAACTTATCACTGTTTAAATTGGCTTGTTTGCTAAAGGATTTGTTATTCACTTAGTCGATATAAAACTTATGTTAAGCCGTTTTGATGGTCTAGAAGACGGCTGGAAGGCCGTTAAGCTAACGGGAGCGGAGATCGGAAGGGTTGGAAAACGGATATGTATCGGTAATCATATGGGTTGCTAATGTGACCATGTTTAGCATTCTATTGTGTTAATATTATGTATTTAGTTTCTGATTTGGGTGTAAAAACCTTTTAATTTGTATTTATGATTGAATGAAGCTTTGATTATTAGACTAATTGCTATATTGAATTGTTTGTTTATGTTTAATTTATCTTGCCAAGCTTGTTAAAAGATCCTTACGTATTAATGATAATTATTTGCTGTTAATTGTTAAGTGAATTGAATTGTATGAACATCTGCTTGATTGTTTGTCTCTTATGATTTTGATGACCGCCGAGATAATAAGGCTAGGAATAACGAATGTGAAACTAGGATTAACTTGGGAATAAGTAAGTTAATGTGTGAGCCTTGTTTGATGACCATCAACATTAGGTTAATTGAATAGACAATTTGATTAACTATATTTACAAGTCTTGCTTGATACGAACTGAACACTATGAAGCATGTTAGTTTAATCAACTGATCACTGTTTAAATTGACTTGTTTGCTAAAGGATTAGTTATAGTGAATGCGAATCTAATCATTTTACGAATCGGTGAACATGAATAAATGAATTTGTGTATGCAATTGTCTATGTTTTTAAGGTGTAATTTATCTAAACCAAAGTACCTGGAGAGATATGCTTTCCTGTTAGTTTATCGAGAGTTGTTAATTGTTAGTTTGAGATTTATTAAACTATTTCTTTATTATTTTCGTGTGACCTGTAACCTATAATCAAATATATTAAATTAATTCACCAACGTTCCCTATGGTCGACACCCGACTTACCTAAGCTATACTGTAATCTGACTAGGTACATTGCCTATAAGTGCATAGTTAGTCTAAGTTTGTTAGGTTATAAATATTAAAAATAGTGGGTACTTTTGTGCACATCAAGTTTTTGGCGCCGTTGCCGGGGAACGGCTTGTCATTAATTTAGTTTATTTGATTATTCGTTATTTGTTTTTAGTTAGTTTTTATTTTTAAATTGTCGTTGATATCATTTCACTTGTTGGGAAGGTTCTTGTTGTTATTTGCAGGAATTTGAGATTGTACACATTGCTTGACTTTACTTTTTGCATGGGTTTCGAGGATGAAAGCGATTAGGGAATTCTTGACCTGCTTAGCCTACTACTTTCTTGATTTGTCCAACTCAATCCATGAGGCGTAGTATAGCAAGGCGTATTGTGGTGGTTAAGTGGAAGATCGAGCTCTTGCTATTCTTGACTAGTTAGGTCACTTCTTGTTCCGCTTTTAGTTAAAGGTGCAAAGAAAACAAAGGAAATATTCTAACGGGTCCCGAAAGTGGGTGTTTTCGCAAACCAATTCTTTCATGCAAAGGTTTTTGATCAACCGTTGTTGTTTAATCTCGACAAAGACAAGTGGTTATGATGTCTCATTTTTATGTCACTCATCGAAAAGTCATCAGTTGCTGAAGCAATTAAAAAGAAAAATAATTAAGTTTTAAAGTCCCTTAATTAAATAGTTAAAAGAAAAGAAAAGAAAGTTTAATTAAAAGAAAAGGAATACTTCATTACGCCCAGCGTAAGTTGAATTACGCCAAGCGTAATAAACCCTGGATCGCGGATGGACTTTTCATGGAGTTGGGATTACGCCCAGCGTAACCTTGTTTTACGCCCAACGTAACTCAGCGACCAGGTTATATCTTTTGACCCTTGACTTTTTTTGTTACTCTTTTAATTCTCTTCTACTCTTGCATACGCTGTGACGACGAACTTCTTCCAAGAATCTCGATTTTTTCTCGTTTCTTGTAAAATTCGGCACACAAGTAAGTTTTTCGGTTACTCAATGGCTTTGATTTGTGTTTAATTCGATGAAATAAGCTGCAGTATGCCTTTGTTTGAAATCTAGGGTTCATATATTTCTCGAATTAGGGGCCGATTTCACAAATTTGTGTTTGATTATGGCTTAAATAGACTGATTCGGACTAATGGACTAAACCGTAGGACCTAATTTGGTCTTAATCCTGCCCCACACCCATCGATTTAAGCTCGGGGACGGACGCCAAGCGTACGCCCTATAAACTTCGATTCTTGACTGCTCTATGCAGTTTCCCTGTTAAGTGTTTGTTAATTTTAAATAGACAAGGAGATTACAGGGGATTGATTTTTAAGGGAGGTCCCTTTTTTTTCTACTGTCTTGGACCACGCAAGCTGTATGATCGATATGCCCCCATGTGTTTGCCCCTGCTGTGTTTATTGCTTGCAGTTATTTAATTTGAAAATTTTGATATGGGTTATGACTTTAGAACAAGCAAGGGAACCAGAACACAGAATCGTGGAACCTGGACGTAGGCCTAGCGTACGCTGGATGTACACCCAGCGTACTGTCCATGTCCAACTCCAATTTTTTTGGTTTAAAAATTGTTAATGCTGCTATGTTTTGTTTGGTTTTGTGTTTATTTGTGCAGATTATGGCCCGAAGAACTCAACGGACCAACCCACTCGAGGATGTGAGCAATCACCATTTCTTACAATTTCCGCAAACGCTGAGCGATGCAACCCGGGCACATTATGTCAACAGTTTGAGTTTGCTGCTCACCAAGGAGATGGACATAGTACCCTCATTTGACTGGGACTTGGCGACCCGGACTGGACTTGCTGCACTGATCCAGGATTTTTTGCAATACACGCACTCGGACGCGAGTGGAGTGGATTTGTTCATGTGTCAGGGATGGGCACGATTGTTCAGGATCCAGGAGCCTATTTATTGGGAATTTTTGTTGGAGTTCTACGCTACAGTTTCCTATGATCCTAGGAAGGCACCCGATGATAGGACAACTTTTGCCTTCAGACTGAGGGGAGTGAGCCGGGAGTGCAGTGTCGTAGAGCTTGCGACTCGAGTGGGTATATACACAGCAAATAAGAAGAGGAGTGTCCATTGCCCGGCATGCCTTGCTGATTGTCTTACGGAGCGGCCAGATGAATATAACGAGAACACTTTTTGGGCCGAGATTACAGAGGGAGTTTATACGCCATCTACTGCACGAGGGAGGATGATTCGGTCTACTACTTACAGATTGCTGCACCGTTTGATTTCTATGACTCTCACGCATCACAAGAACAGTGAGAGAGTGCCTTCGATAGACTTGTATTTCCTATGGGCGCTTGTTACTCCAGGGAGGCACCTGAACCTTCTAGTTGCTTTAGCTACATATTTGGGACGGAGGGCCAGGGGACTTCGGGATGATAGCCCGATTTGTCGAGGGCATTTTATCACGCGATTAGCCCGATTATATCAGTTGTTGACGCGTGAGATCACGAGATCGATGGTGTTCCACGATATGAGGCCGATGAGCCTTTAGTTGTTAGAGTCGATGCGTGTATTGGAGCGGGGCGGAGATGGTGTCTTGCGAGTATGAGCAGATGATGTGGCAGACGAGGTGGGTGCCGCCGAGCCACAGCCAAGACGGGTCCAGCGGCGTAGACCTGCTCCTCGGGGAGCGCAGCAGGGACCTAAGCCGGAGATTGATATGCGCTACCTAGCTCAGGGCATTGACCGTCTTAGTGAGTATGTTGCACATGTGGACAGGCAACAACAGTGGTATAGGGATGCGTTGACCACATTCTTTGCTCACCAGGGGTTTCAGTACTCGGTTCCCTACCCTCCACCATTCCAGCCACGACATGATGGGGCTGGTACTTCTGGGACACAGCAGCATGATGATGGACATGATGAGTGATTTAGTTATCCTTTTTATTTTTATGTTAGTTTTAGTTTTTTTTTGTGTTATTTTTAGTTTAGTTTAGTATTTTTATTTGGTATGTAATTGAACTTTAATTTAGAGTGTTTTAATTTTGTTTTCCATGTTGATGCTCTTTGGTTATTTAGATTTCTGCATAATTTTCACCCTTAGAAAGCTGGCAGTAAGTTCAGCAGCTTGGTCCGACTGTTGCTAGAGAGAGTCGTGTGAGAGTTTGAAGATAATAGTCAAGACCCACAATTTGTCATAAGTGTGCGGTGCATATTGATTTCGTGAGCAATTGTTTAGAAGATTTGCATTTTTTACGATATTTTGATTCCTATGGTATGGATGAGCTGTTCCCACACCATAGAGTTCTATTTCGACGCGAGGAAGACGTATCATCTCATCTGCCACGGCATGGTTGACACTTTCCTATGTTGTGGGGGATTTTTCATCGTGAGAAGAAGATGTCATTTTTGAAGGCATGATGTGGTCGACACTTTCCCACGTCATGGTTACTACACATTGCATTTATTTGCAATATTGTGCACCACGTTTTTGAAGTCGACAGTCTTGATTTTATTTTTTTCGACAAATTTAGAAGCAGCAATTCCAGTTTTCAGTCTTTTAGCGATATTTGGAGCAACTTGTAGCAGCCCCATTTGATCTCGCCACAACTACCCAGGGGAGTTTGTTCCTTTGTCTCCCTTTTTATGTTCTTAATTCGTTTTAGCATACAACGAGGGCATTGTATGAAATAAGTGTGGGGTAGGGGGTCGGTAAAAGTAAATTAAAATTAAAAGAAAAAATGAAATAATAGTTTGGAAATTGCTAGAGTTGGGAAATTTAAAATTTTAAAACTTGAAATAATAGTTTAATTTAGAAAAATCTAGTGATAATTTAAATTTTGCTAATATTGTATGAAATGATCCGATGAAAACTCAAATGTTTAGTTGAGTCAATATACGGTATAGTGCATTTGTGGCCTCCCTTATTTTAGTGAAATCATGGAACAAAAACATAACCCCGCTTGGTTTGAGAGATGCAATATGTTTAGTAGCCTAAACCTGAAATGTATCCAGGAAAATTATTATCATTAACCAATAAAGGTTGAAGTTGAGCGCCTCGGCTTAAGCATTTAGGTTTTTGAGTGAAAAAAGTGATGTACATGTTAAAAAAAAGAGAGAGAGAGAGAGAATTACGAATAAAGTTTGAAGAATTTTGGAGCAAATAAAGTGAAGATCAAAAGATCAAAATTCCAAGAAATTCAAAAAGTTGAAGATACCATAAATCAATTCAAATAAGGTGGCGATTTCAAAGAAATCAAAGATCAAATTATCCAGGAAGTGAAGAATTCCAAAAGAGCTCCATAGTGGTTTCATAAATTGTAATTCTAGATTATGTATGCTTAGGTTGCTCAACTAAAAATACCTTGAGGATAAGGAGGTTTTCTGCGGATGGATTCGGAGAGTTGCATAAAATGAGCATTGTTCGGAAAAAGTGGGCAAGTGTTTATGAAGATTGTGAGTATTTAAAGTATGGGGGTACATTAGGAAAATTTTAGACACAAATGCATGCGTTGAGGTCTTGGCATAATGGCTGAGTTTTAAATGGATTGTTTAACGCGATATTGGTAAAATAAAATTAAAATTTGCTTGGGGGCAAGCAAAGGCTAAGTGTGGGGTATTTTGATATGTGTATTTTTATATATATTGTTATACATTATATCTTAATATTTTGGCCTTTATTATTCTCTTTTAGAACTAAAAAGTACTCACAATGCTTTAAATTATGTTTTGCAGCTATTCGTTGACGATAAAGCACAAAAGAAAAGACTGAAGCGGAAATCGGGCTTAGAAGCTAAAACAAAGGAAAAATGTTGGAGGAGCCAATTACGCCCCGCGTAAGTTTCTTGTACGCTAAGCGTAACGAGTAACGACCAAATTTAAATTACGCCCAGCGTAATATTAGTTTACGCCTCGCGTAATGGCTGGCATCGGATAACTACAATCGCGTATAAATCCTTAGTACGCCCAGCGTAATTCGAGTTACACCCAGCGTATGTAAGTCGGCTACAAAGGTTATAAAAGTCGATTATCAGCTAACCAGAAGGGGGGATTCGACTTCAAACTTAATTTAGTCGATATTAAACTTTTGTTAAGCCGTTTTAAGGGTCCAGAAGGCGGCCGGAAGGCCGTTAAGCTAACGGGAGCGGAGATCGGAAGGGTTGGAGAGCGGATACGTGTCGGTAATCATACGGGTTGCTAACGTGACCATGTTTAGAATTCCATTGTGTTACTATTATCTATTTAGTTTCTGATTTGGGTGTAAAAACCGTTTACTTTGTGTTTATGATTAAATGAAGCTTTGATTATTAGACTAATTGCTATATTGAATTGTTTGTTTATGTTTAATTTATCTTTCCAAGCTTGTTAAAAGATCCTTACATATTAATGATAATTATTTGCTGTTAATTGTTAAGTGAATTGAGTTGTATGAACATCTGCTTGATTGCTTGTCTCTTATGATTTTGATGACTATGGAGGTTATAAGCCTAGGAATAACGAATGTGAAACTACGATTAACTTGGGAATAAGTAAGTTAATGTGTGAGCCTTGTTTGATGACCATCAACAAGAGGTTAATTGAATAGACAATTTGATTAATATATTTACAAGTCTTGCTTGATACGAACTGAACACTAGGAAGCATGTTAGTTTAATCAATTGATCACTGTTTAAATTGACTTGTTTGCTAAAGGATTATTTATAGTGAACGCGAATCTAATCATTTTAGGAATCGGTGAACATGAATAAATGAATTTGTGTATGCAATTGTCTATGTTTTTAAGGTGTAATTTATCTAAACCAAAGTACCTGAAGAGATTTTCTTTCCTGTTAGTTTATCGAGAGTTGTTAATTGTTAGTTTGAGATTTATTAAACTATTTCTTTATTATTTTCGTGTAACCTGTAACCTATAATCAAATATATTAAATTAATTCACCACCGTTCCCTGTGGTCGACACCCAACTTACCTAAGCTATATTGTAATTTGACTAGGTACACTGCCTATAAGTGCATAGTTAGTCTATGTTTGTTAGGTTATAAATATTAAAAATAGTGGGTACTTTGTGCACATCAAACACCTTACTCTTGGTGTTCTAAGTGTGTTTGCTAGTCCTAAACTCATAAGGGTACATGTCTAAATTCAAGCCTGAGCCTTAGGAAGTGTTTGTGGCATCAAAACACCCATAACTTGAGTTTTCGGCCCATGAACCATTTGGCCATGTGTTTGAGGCTGTGAACACCCCTAGGTGTTGGTATTTTGATTGTTTTGGGTCTTAGACACATCAAGGTAATGTGCTATGCTAGTCTCTTGGCTAAATGAAGGCATTTAGGGCATTTTGGCCCTTAAACATGGAGTTTACGGCCCAAGAACCTCCTTGGTCGTGAACTCGTTTTCACCCTTTTATTCTAATTGATTTTGTGTCCTAAACATGCAATGGTGGCTTCTAGTTTGATTTCCAAGGCTTTGAGGGACATTGGGACACTTTTGGCCCTTAAAATGGAGTTTACTCCCCAAGTGTTCTTGGGCGGTAAACTCCCAAATATTGGGGTTTTGACATGATTTTGATGTTATAAAACATAATCTAAGCTATATAATACAACTAGATTGAAGTACTCACGATTTAGGATAAAAACCCGAAGATCTGTGAGAGAGAATTTGGTTTTTCTCTAGTTGTAACTGTAACTAATGAACGAATATGGTTCAGATTTCTATATATAGTCCTAGGATTTTTGGCAGAAAATATTTTATTCCTGGAACAAACTCTAAAATCATAGAGTATTGGAATAACAGTGTTGGACAAAATCTTAGTGCATCCACTCTCCTGATATCTCCTTAAGTGCTAAACCTGAAATACTCTAACTTTTACCAAAAGTCTGGAATTTCACCGTAACTATTCTGACTTCTATTGGCTTGATATGGTTTGTTCAGAATGGAAATTTTCGGTTGTCACATCATCCCCCTGTTAAAGGGAATTTTGTCCCGAAATTAGAATTTAGGCAAGGAAGTAGGTATGAGTGATCGATTCGTGAGGTGGAAACTTACTAATCGATTGGTTCTCGCGCTCCTAAGTAAAATCGGGTCCTCGGTTGGTATCCCAACAAACCTTCACTAACTGGTGACGGCGTTACTTCGTCCGCTTGACCTCTCAGTCAAGGGTCACTACGGTTCTAATACGAAGGTGAGGATCTCGACGAGTGGACTTTCAAGAGTCATGACAGAAAGGTACGGTTTCACGATCGAGATGCAAAGCGTAAATGTACGCTACTGAGTTCGCAGAATAGGTCTAGTTTGTGCGAGGCACAGGACCGATTCTGGTAAGAATCTCGGAGGTCCTATCTATTTTGGATTTAGCTTTCCAAACTTTACGAAGCGTATTAAGCCATTCCCAGAGTGAGTTTTCCTAAAGAACTTGGTCTCTCACTTGGAATTCCAAAGGTTCTTTCTCTTCCTAAACTTCCCAGTCAAGGGCCACTCCTTGCCGGGTATAAGTCGTACGGGTTTCTGTGATTTGCGAGAAGTTGTGGACGAACTATGACAGTAGGTCTGTAAGACCTAGAATTTGACGAATGTATGTCGGCATCTTCGATGCCGACCAATTCCCAACGGTTTTGGATAAATTGCCAGAGTACTCAAGAATTTCCACATCACTAATAGTGTGTCTTAGGAAATTTTGACTCTTCAATTCCAAAACTCGTGTTCAGAGAACTTTGCGAAAAGTATCTCCGAGGGTAATGTTTCTAGAGGTTCCTTCTTACCACAATGGTAGATAAGTAAGTCATTACTGTTGGATTAGTGTCTAAGTCCATAACTATTTTGGTATGTACTTGACCCGATGGTGCATGGTCCTTTTGGGTTGCCTTCACCAAAGCAACTTGATAGGATGATTTATGGAGAGTAAGGATTAAATATGATTTATTAATGTATTATGAGAATAATATATTAAAGGAGAAATCATATTGTTTAATTAATATTAGTTAATAATTAATTGGTAATTAGTTTTGTGACTAAAAGAGATTAATTAAACTTAAGGGACTGGAATTGTAATTATAGATAATTGCAATTTGGGCCATGGATTGCCTTATATTAAGGGATGGACGAATTCTAATGGGAAACCCATAAGGAAATCGTCCATGGGCTTAATTAAAGGAGTCTATGGGTTGCTTCGGGCTTAAGCATCCAAATTAGGGTTTCCTTGTTAGATAACCCTAATAGCCCAACTATATAAAGACCCCTTAAGGCTCAAAAACGTGGCTAAGCTTCTTGTAAGGGTTTACACACGTTTTTGGCAGCCTCCAACCTCTCTCCTCTTCATCCTCTTGCTTATGGTGTTTGTGAACCATTAGAGGAGTGACACTTGTGACTCTAAGCATTCCAAAGTCAATCAAGGTATGTTCTTAAACCTAATTACATGTTAATATGATTACTTGATGCTAGAATTAGGGTTTATAGTCTTGGATTCAAAGCATGTACAATAGAGAAACCTAGATCCAAGCATTAGGGTTTGTATGAGCACATAGGATGTCTTATGACCAAAACCCATCAGTGGTATCAGAGCCTAGCTTGGTTTCAATTGTATTGATGCATTGTATAACTGGAAA